TGGAAGTGCTATCTGATGATCTGGCGTCCTTTAAAAGGCTCTGGTGAAATAAACTATTATAATGGTACCTTAAAGTGGTCTGTTTTTTCTTTATATATATATATATATATATATATATATATATATATATATATTTTATATATATATATTATTTATATATATATATATATATATAATATTTTTTATATTTTATTATTTATATATATATATATATATATATATATAAAGTTTTTTGCATTAGTCAAAGAAAATATCAACAACCATAAAATTAATCTGTAATATTAGCTCTAAAATGCTTTTCGACTCTATTAGTGAGAAAAAAAATTGACAATACACACATCAATTTAAATTTAACTTTGTCTCGGTTTATTTATTTTCTATTTAAATCTCGAGTTGGCAATAACAATATAAACTATAATTTCAACTTTATATTTTTACGCAATGGTTATCATCACAGGAAAGATTCCATAAATAAACCATTTTCAATATTTTCAAGCGTCAGACATCCGGATTCTATTACATAGACGCATAACAACAACAACAAAAAATAATAAAATAAAACAAAAGTTCTGACTGCAATTTAAGCTGACTTCAAAGAATATATAGATGTTAACACGAAAGATTTTTTTTTTCTTTGGACGTCTGATGAAATTATGAATCTATCAACTTCAATTAACTTAAAGTCTCTCATATATATCAGAATAATGTTTCTGTCATATGAGAAAGTAACGTATTTAAATTTGTTTATCGTCTGTGATGGGCCAACATGGAATTGCGCTATTGATTGAGTTTTGACTGTATAGATTAAAACAATGATGATTTTTTTTATGTTGAACTCCTAATTTTGTATTAGTTTCAACACCAATCAGATAGAAAAAAAAGTTTATTAATCTAATTTAAGCGAAATAATAATGCAAACAGCGTTATATACACAAAATTGTCGAAAAATGGCCTACTCAGATGAGAAAATATTCTAAAATAGTTTTAATAGTCATTGAAGCATATATATATCTTAGCATGGGAGACAAACGTTTGATTAAAGCTAGATAACGCAAGGGACTCTATACACAAAAAATTGTCTAAAAGACTGTCAAAATTTGTCAAACGGAAAAATCGCCATATACCGTCTGTTAGGGAATGCGGAGGCTGGGCCAGGATGGTGAGCATTTGGAAAACTAATTCGTGGCCGTTCAATACTGACAGTGACGGATTGCATTTGTCTAAGTTTGTAATGAAAGACCAAAACGACACGAAGTCGGCAGAGGCCAGCAATAATTTTGAAACGTCGACACGCTTTCCGCACTCCGATTCCTTAGAGAGGCTAGGCTGCAGGTGGCGTAATATTAAAGTCAACGAGTCCCTTGAATTTTTCCTTCCCGTTACCACCTGAATTTAAATTATTAAATTACAAATTTACAATGAACTGGAAATAACTTTTTCCGGTTAAATTTTAGTTGCAATACATACTGCTTTCCTAGGTATGTCAATGGCACTTACATAATAATAAATACACATCTATCTATCTATCTATCTATCTATCTATCTATCTATCTATCTATCTATCTATCTATCTATCTATCGCCAGGTCTCTGTCTCAATGGTATCTATCTATCGCCAGGTCTCTGTCTCAATGGTATCTATCTATCTATCTATCTATCTATCTATCTATCTATCTATCTATCTATCTATCGCCAGGTCTCTGTCTCAATGGTATCTATCTATCGCCAGGTCTCTGTCTCAATGGTATCTATCTATCTATCTATCTATCTATCTATCTATCTATCTATCTATCTATCTATCTCATTCACTTTGTATCTATCTATCTATCTATCTATCTATCTATCTATCTATCTATCTATCTATCTATCTATCTATCTCATTCACATTTAGTTGCAATACATACTGCTTTCCTAGGTATGTCGATGGCACTTACATGATAATAAATACACATCTATCTATCTATCTATCTATCTATCTATCTATCTATCTATCTATCTATCTAAGGCTTATGGCCATGTCAGGTTGAGATACCGGTACTCGACCGATCACCGAAGTTAAAAATGTCTCGCCTGATCAGTACTTTGATGTGTGAGTTATGCAATTGATAAACGCTGGGAATGAAATGTCAATGAGCCAAGCTCGAATTACAGTCTGCTTCATTAGCGAATTCTTATTTCATTGCTCAAAATACCCTTGGGAAATTGTATGAATTCACTTGTTCACCGTGTTATCTATAGTTTAAAATAGTAAGATTGGTATATAAAAATTATTCTTATCCCCAATAAATTGTCATTATAGCATTCATGCGCATAAAAAGGATTATTATTACAAATCCCAAATTTTTCGACATTGAATAGCCTACAAAAGGTGGATAAGCCGTAAAAAATCTATCTATCTATCTATCTATCTATCTATCTATCTATCTATTTATCTATCTATCTATCTATCTATCTCAGTTTCACCAGTCTCTATCTATCTATCTATCTATCTATCTATCTATCTATCTATCTATCTATCTATCTCAGTTTCACCAGTAACTATCTATCTATCTATCTATCTATCTATCTATCTATCTATCTATCTATCTCACTAAATCTGTTCATATATATTTCAGAGTATACATATCTATCTATCTATCTATCTATCTATCTATCTATCTATCTATCTATCTATCTATCTATCTATCTCAGTTTCACCAGTATCTATCTATCTATCTATCTATCTATCTCACTAAATCTGTTCATATATATTTCAGAGTATATCTATCTATCGGAAACGGCAGCCTGCTCTTATCAGACCATTCTTGTTAAATTTGCCTATTACCTCAATCGTGGCAACCATGAAAATATCCCTCGTATTTTAATGCCACTGGTTAGTCTCACCCCCGACGATACTCCAGACGTAGTAGGCTAGAGAATTCAAATAATTGAACTGGGAGATACATGTTTAGGGTTACATGATAGTGATATTTTTCTGTCAGCTACTTGGGGCTTGTATTGGCTATGTGGACCATTTACTCGAGTCGGACATGATGATCCTGTTCAATGTCCCTGAAGCCAGATGCCAGGAAGCCCAGTAATCGTCATCGCTGACGAGAGACTAGCGTACGTACATGCGTGTAAGTGGCTAGTATCAATGGAGATACATCTCTCGATCCTCCTGTTCAGTTTGTGGTCCTGGTCGAAGTTCTCATTCATGGCGGAATGAAAAGAATGTTTGACCTCGTTTACCAAGCACTTCGATTCGTTTGTTTGAGTCGGGACTTGTTGGACTGCCACCTCTTAACACGTACGGCCAGGTCCCTCATTCTGCGCCACGTCTGAGGATAGACTATGCTACCATACGTTGCCCGGCGATAGCCCTCGTTCAGCATTCTTTCGCTTGTGTGTTTCGCCCAATTTTAATACTAGCAGATGAACGTTGTGAGAAATCGCTGCTAGACCAGATACAATTCAGAGACGCACGGGACACAGCCAGGTCCCTCATTCTGCGCCACGGTATGGTAGCATAGTCTATCTGAGGATAGTTGTCTCGTCATTCGCATACAAATTATGGTCGGTCCTCGGCTGTATAAAGCAGGCGCGTTTTTGTTTATGAGCACTGAGTTTTTGCTCGTGAGAAGGTTGGACGTGTGACCCTTTTTTGTCAGTTACCCTCCTCGCATTTCCTATCTGCTATTATCAGTTGAGTCGTTGCTTTACCACCACAAGCTATTTCGGCAATGAACAAGTTCGATCTAAAATTGATCCCAGAATTTGACGGCTCCCCCACGGGCCCGATTGTCGTCGAATGGTTTGAGAAGGCCGAACGTGTTTGCAGGGTGTCCAAAATAAAAGAACCTGCACTGGTCATCCCACTGAGACTCACGAGGGGAGCCTACGCCGTATATCAACAACTCGGGGACGATGCTGACCTAGAGGAGATCAAGAGTGCCCTATATACGGCCTTTGGAATAGACCCCTTCATCGCTTGGAAACAGTTCGTCGGACGACGGCTCGAGCCGGGTGAGACGGTAGATGTCTACCTGGCCGATTTGCGAAGGCTGGCGGAGAAACGGACCGCATGGGATGCGCTTTCCTGGCAGGACTTCCCGAGGACACCAGTCGGCTCCTGCGAGCGTCTTCAAGATTGCACACACTGGGAATTGACGAATTGAAAGATTGAAAGACACGGAACAGGTCGCGGCAGCCGTGAGAACACCCGAGATATCGCGGGAGGGCCCAAAGTGCTACAAGTGCGGTGGACCCAACCATTTCTCTAGGGACTGCCGGAGCCGAAGTGACGTAGGAGGTGGGAGCAGCCGACGGACACGAGCACGACTACGCTGCTATCGCTGCAACGAGTTAGGCCATGCAGCACAGGATTGCTCGGGAAACGAGTCCGGGGACAAGGTGCTGTCGCAACCCTTGCCTCCTCTCGGTCAGTAAATGTGGCATTGCCTGTTGTCAACGTGAGCGTTGAGGGTAAACGATGTTCGGCGCTCGTCGGCACTGGATGTTTCCGATGGATCGTCAGTGCGGATCGATGCGTGACATGGAGCAGTCATACGCTGCCCGGCGATAGCCCTCGTTCAGCATTCTTTCGGGCACAATCCAGAGAGGCACGGAACACAAGGTCCACGGATTGAAATCACACCTGCTAAACACTGACCCGACTAACAAAATGACGTTAGTAGAGTAATATCGTTTTGTTGGATATTTGTCTATATGCTCATTTTCTTTTTCAATCGAGTTACGAAGATCAGTGAAATAAATGTCTTTTTTTTTTAAAAGAAAAACTTTTTTAAAAATATACTAATATCCAACCAATGCCAGGACAAAAAGCCAATCAAGATAGAGGCTATTATGTGATGTTGTATGAGAGTAAGGGAACGCAAGAAAATGAAGTCTTTGTTTCAGGTTTCAATGGATAGGTTAGTTGTTTATTATGTAAAAGATGATTTAGGTGATACGTATCGAAAATATATTTATTAAGGATAAAATCCTTTAACGCAGGTTTTCTCACCCTGAGAGATATCACCCACCGGTGAGCTTGTTCAAATTTTGGGCGGACAATGAACAATTGAGCAAGATAGGGTGGGGAACTAGATTTTTTTTTTGTGGTGGTCATATAGGATTTTGTGTAATAAGAAGTTTATTTACATTGCTTGGACTGTTGTCCTCATCTTTATTGTCCCGTTCACAACGCTTCGGCCGTTGTATGCTCCGGCCTTCTTCAGGTAAATGGAATTTCGAACTGAACCCTTTATTTCGCCTACCAGTGTATATTGTTCTAGTTTCCCGTGCCATGCCTCCTCCAGATGTTTCAGTTATCTCCCTTTTAACTCAACGCCCCAATTTTTCGTTCACCACTGCCGTAGCTAGGTATTGAACTCACAACACTTTGGGTCAAATCACTGGATCCAACCAACGTTTTTATCCACTGGGTCATATGGGATAAACGGCACAGTAACTTAATGTTTCTGTAACCATCTTTTACTATTAACTTTATAAGTCCCCAAAATTCATACACTGATGTCCTCAAGGACACAGGGCTCAGAGTCTGGAAAAATATTCAAAGGTGATATACAAAGAACCCGTATAAAAAGCAAACAAATAGAATTATTTACATTATTCGGACTATTGTCCTCATCTTTGTCGCCATATTTATTACAACGTTTCGGCCGTTGTACGCTCCGGCCTTCTTCAAGTGGTTGGTAAAAACATGCAATGATAACAGTAAAAATTGCAATATGAGCACTGGTGAAAAAATGGTTGCTGAAGACATTAGGTTTATAATACCCAGAAATTCATACACAGATCTCCTCAAAGACATATGGCACAGTGGATAAAGTTCTTTAACTCCAGTGACAGGACCCAAAGAGTGTGAGTTCAATACCCGGTTAAGGCAGTGGAGAACTTGCCGAGGTTAACAGGAAATAACTGATAACTCACATCCATTAAACATGGCACGTCGAACTAGTACAGTCTACCCCTGTGAGCGAAATAAAGGGTTCAGCTCGACATTCCAACCACCTGAAGAAGGCCGGAGCGTACAAAGGCCGAAACGTTGTAATAAATATGGCGACGAAGTTGAGGGCAATAGTAGAAATAATATAAATAATGTACATAATACCTCATCTCAGAAATATAGACAAACAAATAGAAATATACAAATGGAAGGCTAAACTGGAATAACTGGATCACTTCTAGCCGGGTACTTACCCGGCTAGACGTGATCCAGTTATTCCAGTAAGTACCAAGGTGATTGGCTGTATGGGAATACCAGGAACTGTAAGCTTTAGTGTGCGGGTGGTGTAATGAATAACGACCCGGAATTGGTAATCAAAGAACCGAGTGCCAATTCCAGTTGTGTTCATTATATTCACTCACGTACAAATACTTTTTGGAAAGGTATGAATCAAACTTCTCACCCTAGCTATGGGTTAATTAGTAAGCCGTGTATCACTAAAACCATTATTATCTCAAATATCCTGTAAAGGGTTGATAAGCTGCAGAAAACGAATGAATAATGCAATTCCGAAGCATTAAGAAATGTACAAAACTCTCAGGATATCAAATTTACTCCCAGAACATAATCATCAACAGTATCAGTCAGTAAGAAAGTGGGTTAAGTGGTAATACCTATTCGACTTTAATCACCTCAGACTTAATAGTCGAAACACACATATCATTAAAATGAGCACAAACCCCTCAAGATTCCAAATTTATTCTGAAAACATAATCACCTTCAATGTAAATCACGGCAGGAGATTCGGTTAAATGGTAATGCCTATTTGTCTTTAATTACAACAGACTTAATAGCAGAAACACACAAGGAATACCAAAATGGTTACAAAAATCAAATATTTTCAAATCTAGACTTCGACATAGCCTCTTCTCTTTTCTCTC